AGAGAGAGAGAGAAGGAGATAGAGAGGAGAGAGAGGAGAGCGAGGAGAGAGAAGGAGGAGAGAGAGAGAGGAGGAGAAGGAGAGAGAGAGAGAGGAGAGAAGAGGGAGGAAAGGACTACCTAATTTTAACGAGGACTACGCTCTGACGGCACACTGCCGTACGTGAGGAAGGGGAGGAAAGAGAGGATGAGGGAAGGGCAGAGGAGGGAGAGTGAGGAGTGGCGTGACTCAGCTCTGGTGGTGATCGTTCAGGAATCTGCCATATGTCGTGCATGCGGTCACATATACATACCGTATGAGTGAGTCACTATGTCATGTTGACGCCTTCTCCGGGACGCAGCGGATGACACTGGAGCCGGGCATACCGCTCGATCTTGACCGGTGACAGTGTCCCGAGAATCACCAGTGGTATCCCGCATGATGTTACGCTTAACCATATCCTGGCGGGCTCCGCCGGACACAAAAAACTGGCGGGGGGGGGGGGGCCGATCGGCCCCCCCTGAGATCTCGAGAACGAAGCAAGATAGCGACAAGCGGTAAACGGCATCGGATACGCACGGCCAAAATCTACAATTTTTACTAAGGTCATTTTCAGGTCAGGTCAAAGATGACGTCACAGGGGTCGAAAAAGTCAAAATGGCGGCACTAGATATGGAGAGAGTTTTTCTCGAATAACTTTCGAATTGGTCAAGATAGGAACAAACTAAGGGCATCATCGTGATCCTCTCGTCAATCCGCATCGAATGATATATATGTTGACCTCGAAAGGTCAAGGTCAAAGGTTGACCTCAGGTCACGTGACCTCGAGGTCATCATGTATATCATTCGATGCGTCTTGACGAGCTGAACACAATGAGACCATCCACGCGTCTGTATCTTGTTCCTGTACGGAGTTATTGGCCAAAAACCTTTGGTGACCTTTGATGACGTCACATGACCTCACAGCTGCCCAACAGCAAAACAGACCTCAAGGTAGTGAAGGTTGATCGTATATGAAGTCATGTATGGTATATGGGGCCATTCCGACCCGTTTTAGTGGTAAAAACAGGGAGTTGATTTTTCCCCCATTGACTTATAATGGGGAGGTCGCGAAATTGACCTGACCTTAGGTCACCGATATCAAAATTCCGAGATATACAAATTGCACATACTGGTACCCTAACTAAACGCTGAAGAGAAGAAATTGATCGGTCAAAAACTCTAGCTCTGGCGTGATTGCAAACTTTTCTGAGGTAGCGTCACCAAACCGCCTCTGGTGACCTGACCTGAGGTCAGATCAACTCAAAATTTTCAGACATGTTGCGTAGAAGCCTTTTAGGAAAAGTCAGAAAATTTGAGCTTCCTAGCTCAACGCGTTTGGGAGATATAACCAAAAAACCTCAGGGGGGGGGGGGGGCTCCTGAGGCCCCCCCCCCCCGCCAGGAATAGGGTTAAAGTGCCCGATAAACCTCACAGGCCACGTTATTTAGCGATAAAAGTAGAGACCGCTTATACATTATATGTCATCATAGTGCTGGGCACTATGATATATGTCATCATCCTTGTGTCATTGATAACGATTCGGCACATTGTCAGGACTCGCCCTGAGAACCTGTGCTATTCATTGACGACCACCCTCGCCATTACAGTGCCTCAAGGTGTTGGACGTCTTCAAGGGCGTATGTCCAGACGAGAAGGTGGGCGGTCTCAGCAACTTCCAGTTCACATCGCGCTCGAGAGAGGACGGCATCACTTCCTTCCAATTCCGCAGGGACTTCGATACGAGTGAGTGTCGCGCATTTTAGAAGCCTTCTTTCACGATGCTATGTGTACTCCGTAGGTATAAGCATCAAACAGCATCGATGATGTGCAGTGTTCTGTCGTTGTTCGGTTAGTTCACTTCCAATGCTATTACTGCTTCGATACCCGTTTAACCCGCGCGGGGCTGGGGTCTCCAGCCGAACGCGCGGGGCTGGGGGGGGGGGTAAATTTTACCCCCCCTGTTATCTCCCGAACTAATGGTCCGATTTGGACAATTCAAACGCCAATCGAAAGCTCTCATCACGAACTACTAAAAACATGTACTTAATTTAAAGTTTGAGGTCAAGGTCAAGGTCAGGTCAAGGGTACAAATTGCAAGTTTCTACAGTATCGGCCTTGCACCGTAGTTGCCGAAGAATGGAGTCATGGACTGAGACTGATCGCCCAAAACGTGTTCTTAGGCTACCAAGACAATACTCGTTGCATACAATATCATTCAGAGGTCAAGGTCAAGGTCAGGTCAGGTCAGGTCAGGTCACCAAAAAACAAAATATAGAAAAGGGCATGTGCGACACATGTTTTATGGGTCATTTTACTCATAGAATTCAATAGGCACACTCAATAAGTGATATGGACCACCTCTGGATGAATTTCAGGTCGAGGTCAGGTCAAGGTCAGGTCAAGTGAGGTCAAATTTTGAAGTTGGTTGTTAAGGCCTAAAAAGGTGTCTATCTGATGCAGTTTTTCACGGCAAATCGAGTGGTGCTATTTTTGTTTCCGTACGAGGTCTAGAACTTCCAAAAAAGTCATTTTTCAAAAAATTTGTGTGTCGTGACGTCATAAAATTTTGAATAACTCCCACATTTTTGAACCGATTCTTCTAAAATTTGGTATGTAGGTGCACATAGACCACTTCTCTGACATATATTCCGGTTTTTTCGATAGACTCAAAATTTTGGATTTTATAATGATTTTCCCAAAAAAGTCAGTTTTTTGAAAAAATTTAGGCCAAAATCCAAAATTTAAAAAAAAACCGAGATAGCCATTTGATAGACAAAGTAAAATTACGTATAACCTTTTTTGTTACGTCTTGATTCCTTTAAAAATGAAGATGTTAGCGGCGTTTGAACTTTTGCCGTTTTTGAGGCGAAAATGGCGAACATGACGTCACTAAAACGTCAATTTCTCAAAAATTTTCCGACGGATTTCGCTCAAATTTTCAGGGAACGTGTCAAATTGATGTAAGAAAAGGTACTGAAAGTTTGGCGGCGCTGCGCGCCGCCGTTTTTGAGATATCGCAAAAATTCGCGAGGGGGGTAAAATTTACCCCCCCCCCAGCCCCGCGCGGGTTAATTAAACCCATTTATTGACGCTGCATCCAACGTTCTCAGGGGATGAGGGAGATATTCTCGTCAGCGACACGGAGGGCGCCTACATCATCTGGGCCATCGGTAAGCTGGACAAGGACCTGAAGCCCACCTTCCACCGGCTCTACCCCAAACACAACATCAAGATCAACTTCAACCGCAAGCCGGAGGAGCTCAACTGCCAGGCCTTCACATCTGTACAGCACCCCAAACGGTACGGTACGACTGATGGTCACCGTCGGCCGGTGGAGTCATTGTGGACGATTTGAGGTGACTTGTAGGCTGTATTTGTGCAATGTGTGTACAGTCTTTGTCTAATATTACGTATTACCTATCTCGTGACCCTTATTTTTACGTTTTTCGATATGTGCGTTACAGGAAGCCGTGGGGGCCGTTCCACTTTTCGGACATCAACATCCAGAAGATCACGGCCCGGCTGGGACCCTCGGGCGGCATGAGGGGATTCACGGGAACGACAGGTCAGTAACGAAGGGGATTCACGGGAACGACAGGTCAGTAACGAAGGGGATTCACGGGAACGACAGGTCAGTAACGAAGGGGATTCACGGGAACGACAGGTCAGTAACGAAGGGGATTCACGGGAACGACAGGTCAGTTACGAAGGGGATTCACGGGAACGACAGGACAGTAACGAAGGGGATTCACGGGAACGACAGGTCAGTAACGAAGGGGATTCACGGGAACGACAGGTCAGTTACAAAAAGGCTCGGCGCTCTCTGGGAGTGTTCTTCGAGATGAACCGTGCCTCACGAACAGTAATGAATTGGTGAAACCCTTATTCGATGGCTATGTGATTATATGCAGTTAACAATGCCGAGTAACATGTGCCGATTAAATTAGGCGCACCTTGTCACGGACAACCAGAAATTTATATTTATATCATGCTCATATGCAACAAGTTATCAGAAGTGTACACGGACTACAAAAATGCGTGAATGGAGTCCACTGTCTACCTAAATAGTCTAAGTCGACGGTGGTGCAAAAAGTGTTGTATCCCACAAGCCCCATGTTTCGTTACATGTGACCTGCCATCACCACCCGCGCCGCCGCGACTGACCTGATGCCGCTGTGCCTTACAGGTCAGCTGTCAAGTAGCCTGGCCTGGTATCTACACGGGTATCTGGTGCCCGAGATCTACCTGAAGCGGGGCCAGACCTACAAGTTTCTGGTGGAAGGAGGAAAGAACCCGGCAGATCCCGAGTTCTACCATCCGTTCATTATCACAGGTAGGACACGGGGTGCGGGAGGAGGCAGGTGTGGTGAGTTGAAGTGTTAGAATTACAAGGGCTCCTTGTAGCCGGGAGAAGTGTGATTCTGGGCAGCGACAGCCCCGAGCAGGCGAGACGGTGTCTGTTTTGACATTAGAGCATTCGACAGGTCAGGACTCAGGTGAACTACAAGTTTGTGTGACCTGACGACCTGTCATCTCGTGACGCTGACTGGCGGTCACCAACTGTCACTAGTCCATGTCACCGGGCCACCCTTGACTGTCTCCCAACGCTCACCAGAATCAGATGACTCCAGTCCTTGTCGACGGACCATTCCTGTCTGGGTCACCGGACGACCCATCACTGTCGCCAACTGCCGCCGGACCCTCCCTGACTCTCTCCAACTGCCACCAGACCCTCCCTGACTCTCTCCAACTGCCACCGGACCCTCTCTGACTCTCCAACTGCCGCCGGACCCTCCCTGACTCTCTCCAACTGCCACCAGATGACCTTCTGACTCTCCCAACTGCCGCCGGACCCCTTCTGACTCTCTCCAACTGCCGCCGGACCCTCCCTGACTCTCTCCAACTGCCACCAGATGACCTTCTGACTCTCCCAACTGCCGCCGGACCCATTCTGACTCTCTCCAACTGCCGCCGGACCCTTTCTGACTCTCTCCAACTGCCGCCGGACCCCTCCTGACTGTCTTCAACTGCCACCAGATGACCTTCTGACTCTCCCAACTGCCGCCGGACCCCTTCTGACTCTCTCCAACTGCCGCCGGACCCTTTCTGACTCTCTCCAACTGCCGCCGGACCCCTCCTGACTGTCTTCAACTGCCACCAGATGACCCGGTGGGCGGCTACGGCCAGCTGGACGAGGAGGCGCGCCGGGAGATCCGCGTGCTCGCCGGCGTGGAGTTCACCAGACGGGGGAAACCCCAGCCCACTGCAGGTGAGGGATATAGATGAGATGGGGAAACCCCCAGCCCACTGCAGGTGAGGAGTTGTTTCGGAGAAGAGAAACCCCAGCCAGGAGCGGATGAATGGCCATAACTAGAGGGCAGATTAAACCCTAATTGGCATAAATGCTATTTTTAAGAATTCTGCAGACAAAAGCCTTAGGTACACGCTTTCATGTCGTCTTAGGTATATGTCATCAAAATGTGCCGTTTACTACGATCAAACTTGGTTTAGCAACGCGCATTTTTTTTTTGAAATTGCCCAGGGCCCCAGTAGCAGGGATGCCCCATGGAACAGCTCAACTCCTAGCGAAGGCTGCAGAAGTGCGGACACACTGTGCCTCGTTGTGACCGTTACCTCTGTCACCGCAGCGGGTCGGCTCTGCGTGTGGAAACACCAGGACACGGGCGACCGGCGGCTGGACGACGACTTCAGCGACTTCAAGCGGTTCCGCAACTCTCTGCGGCTGCACTGCGAGGGCGGCGAGGCGGCCGTACTCGAGGTGACGCCCAACAACACGTGGCCGGCCACCGTCTACTACCACAGCTACAGCCGACCGCACATGGGCTGGCAGCTGCACATCGTCGACGAGCTGCCCGTGCTGGTGGGGGCGGCGGCGCCGGGAGCGGCGGCAGCCGCCGCGCTCACCCTGGCCGCCCTCCTGGCTCTTGCCATTGGAGCGTAGGAAGCGGAGGGGTAGACATGTAGATGGCTGTTGATTTGGGAGGGAGGTAGAGACAAAAAGACGAAGGAGACATGACGCAGGCGCTAAATTAGTGCCTTTTGTAAATACCACTCTGCGTTTCAAAGAATGTTGATTTGTTTTACGCTGGTGGCTTTCCTGGGATGAATCATTAGGGAGTGTAATGGATCGCGAAAACCCGATAATGTGTTTTGATAAATTTATGGTTTACAACGTCTTTTTAAGATTCGCAATCGCAAGGTAGTCGTTCGATATCAGACTTTGTGTCGAACTTCCGCTGTCTTTTTGTTTCTGACGGCCCGTGAGGACTGATACACAAACACTGTTCCGATCCTGTCTGGGAGGCGCAGACACCGTTCCGGTCCTGTCTGGGAGGCACAGACACCGTCCTGACGGCTGTCTGGGAACCAGGTCGAGCCCACGTTTCGATTCGGTGCTGCGGTTGTGCGTTCCGGCCGATCGCCAGGGACTCTTCTCGTTTGTGCGCGCTGATCCGACGCGCCGACGCCGGTCTTCTGTGATTGTTGAGTGCGCTGAACTCGTGGTCTTTGCGCTCAGCCTGTTTGGGGCGCAGCGGTGCGGCGCAGTGCGACACAGGGAGGTAACGCGACGGTGCGGCAGCTGGGTAAACGAGGCCGTTGCTAACCGTCACTTTTATGGTTGTGTTAGATGCTGAGCCACGAGATTTTATGGTTCGAATGGGGCGCGGTCGTCTATTTTATTAGCTTTGAGTCGTAGGCATGTAAGTCGTGATTAAATTTAAGAAGGCTCTTGACGGTTTGTCAACGAATAGATATACATTTTACAACAAAATACGTATTTTCGGCGTGAGTCCTTTATTTGTGAGTTTCGGGAACACATCACGGGGAATATATATGATATACATTGACTCCGTAAGACTCATTCATAAGCCTCTCCTTCACCAGCGGTGCACCGCAGATGGTGCCCGCGCGAACGAACGGCGAGCCACACTTTCAAAATAGAGCACGATATGAACGGTTCAGAGAACATCGAAAACACCCAGCCCAGCCCGGTCCAGGGAAGCACCTATCCCTGTGTCCCACTGCAAATAGCACACGGAAACACGTTCACGTTCGAGGCAAGACACCCTACGCTTCAACCAGAGACAAAACAGAAAAACTGCGGGCCGCGACAGCGAATGACGTCCGTCTCTCGGTAGGATACCACGTCACAGGTCACGACGGCTTCAAAACAGAACCAAAGCCTTCCACAGTTCGCCGCGAAAGTTACAGCTGAACACACAGGAGTAAGAGAACCCGAGCCTCTAGCGACGCACAAGCTCTATCAGGGAACGACCCAGTAGCGTCGATGGCCGCGGGTGGTCGACACAAGCGCTGAGCCTGGCCACACTAAGTAGTAGCACTGGGAGCGCCCACTCAGACTGGAGCAATACGCTGATAATGCACATACAAACGCATTCATCAACGGAAGAAAGGGACAGCGGGATAGGAAGAGGATTTTACTGTTACGTCGCTTTCTAGTGCATCAGCCGTAACCAGGTTTTATATTGACTTCGCGCCCCGCTGACCTTTAACATGACGCCCGATCGACTTTGACCTGACTGTGACCTGGCGCTCTATATTGACCCAACAAGCGCCCCGAAGTCGTCTGGCGACCCGAACGGCCTTCCTAGTACTAAATTACTTAACTAAGATGAGCACCAAGGAAGGGCCCGCTTTACAAAGTACATTACACTCTCCAAATCGTCGAAGCGTGCTTCACTGTACAACGATGAGTAGCATAGATTTATGGAAGGCGCGGAAATGTTGCAGGGATAGACCATTCCTCCCTAGTGTGGCCACATGAAACAAGTCCAAAGTAATGCTCTCTAACGGACCGGCCAATCAACACATCAAGGGGTCACGGTGTGACTCACACATCAGTGAGCGCTACGATTGCGCCACCAACATTCATCTGACTTATTGAAAGCGGCACGGACCCAGGTTCGCCCAATCACTCCCAACCGCACTGCCTTTATTTCCTGATCGACAGATCTCCGTGCTCAAGATCCTGCATATAATCACTTCACTCAGCTTCGGGGAGGGGCTGTCGGCCCAATCTTATAAAATGCCGTTCTTTTTCATACACGACATTTGATAACATGTGTAATAATATCCGTGTTTGCAAATACGTATCCGAGTAAACAGCGATTCCTGGGAACGATTATATACTATAGCCTGAAATGTGCAGAAAACGATTTGATTTTACCAGCCGTTTTTTACCACCTTAACTTCAGCTAGTGTTGCCAAATCCTTCTAACGGCATTTTTGAAAGATTGTGTCCCGGTGATCGCCCAATCGCAGCTCCCACCCGTATTGCCTTGATTCGCCTTGAACTTCCTGCCGTGCCTTCGAACGTTTTCGAAGCCAGCATCAAAGATTTCTCAGTCCGCAAACTCGTCTCCGCCATAAAGGAGACCGACCCCGCCACACGCCGAGCGCTCTCTTCCTCTTTCCGACCTCACCCCGTCCTCTGACCTCCCCACTTACCCACCTCCCCTCTCCAGCCCGCCGCTCAGTGCTGGTTGACCCAGGGCCGCAGTTGAGACGGCACGGCCGACGGCGGCACGCACCTGCTAACCACGCGCGCCGCCAGACAGCGCAGAGGCGCGTGCTGCACGCGGCAGTAGCGGTGGCGAGCCAGATCGAGCAGCTGGTGCGCCGCGTCCCGTTTACGCGGGCCCACGCGACGGTCCACGTGCGCTCCGGCCTCCAGAAGAACGTTAACCACCTGCGGGAGGGGAGAGCGTCAGAGGGGTAGAGTGAAGACAGAGGTAAACAATGAGGCAGAGGGATGGCGAGGGGAGGGGATGATGAGAAAAGGCGATGATTAGAAAAGTCATGACTAATTAAGGCGGCCGCACACTGGGCCATTCGGCGGGCAGATTCCGCAAAAGCGGAATGTCGCCGGCGACATTCCTACAGCGGCTTTCCGCTTGTTTTCAGCATTTTACGGGACCATTCGGCGGTGCGATTTTCTACTTAGTATTTTCAGGAACTTTATGTGAAATATTTTATGATAAATATAAACGAATGCAAACTAAATACATTTAAGCAAATACAATATGCTATATTATGTTATATTTCTGTAAAATAAAGTTTTGAATATCTATTAATTTGACATAATTTCTGGAGGAAGTTGCAAAAAAAAATAAAGCTCTTGATTAATGTTAACAGCCGTGTTTGTCGACAAATGCAAGAAACCTAAAGACAATTGTGGAGAGGCACATAGCAACCTGCTATAAGAATAACCAATGAAGTGTATAAAACAATCTAATATGGGAAAAGAAGTGCCGTCACTGCCGCTACGATACTTTATCAAGTAAGTCTATTTCTCGGCTGCTCCATCAACAGTTGGTGAGTTTCAATTTCCACAATTTCGGGTGTCCGCGGCGTCGCCGCGGAAAAAGCTGAACCGGTCCAGCTTTTTCCGCAACTCCGCGGCTGTCCGCGCGCATGCGCACTCTACCCGCGGACAGCTGGCTGGCACCGGTCGGCTGGTAATTTTGTCGTTTCAGCAGCTGATTCGGCGTCCACGAAAGCGTAATGTCGCTACGGAATTACGTTTTTGTGGAATGTCGCCCGCCGAATGGCCTAGTGTGCGGCCGCCTTAAGTGATGGGAGGGGCGTGACGAAAACAATTAACTACATAGATAGGTATTATCAGAAATTGATCAATAATTTCGATAGCAGAAGTACTCAGTAAGGCGCAATTATCAAAACGAAAGATGCTTCTAATGGGAGCTAGGCCAATCTGTTTTACATCTGGATATTCGAAGAGGCACTTTCTCTAGGCGATAAGTCCCCACTCCCCAGCAGGTGACCTGGGAGGACGGGAGTGTATATTCGTCCCGTCCCCAGTTCCCGGCCCATGGCCCTTACCGCCGCCGTAGAGGTGTTGAGTGGAGCGTGCACGCTGTTCCCGTAGATAGGTCCGCGAGCCGCCAGCAGCAGCGGCGTCACGCCAGCGTTGTTGGTGGCGTCCACATCGGCCCCACACTCGAGAAGAACCGCAGCCACCTCGGCGCTCGGAAAGATGTCCGGCTGGTAGCGGCACACAAAGAGGCGCGTCAGGAGCAGCCGAACGACGGGGGGGGGGGGGGCGTGATGAAACATGAGACTTGAACCGCGTGTCAAAAATGTGCTGCGAACAGTGGAGGGGTAAGAATGGAATGAACCCTAGATGAGCGACACCACTGAGATTTAAGCAATAGCCGCCCAGCAATGTCAGAAACAATAAAATCACTCTCTTCAAAACACCAAACTAATCGACCCCGCTCTCATAATCAGCCTCCAGGCCACTCTGCCTTTCCACCCACCAGGGCGTCGTCGAACTGCGACTTGGGCTGAACGCTGGCCGACACGGCCAGGTGAAGGAGCGTGTTGCCCTCTGCGCAGGTGCGCGGTCGGAGCTTCAGCAGCCGGTACAGCTGGCGCTTCCAGTGCAGGGCGCGCTGCTGGTCGGAGCAGCGCACGTGCAGCAGCAGGTACACCAGCCGGGTGAGCGTCACCAGCAGCACGTCAAAGTCCTTCTGCTGGCGCTGGTAGACGGGCCGCAGCTGCACCAGTCGGATGGCCTCCTCCATCTGGGAGCTGATCACCGACAGAGTGTCGGAGACGTCACAGAACTGCAGCACGTCAGGAGAGACGCTGGCGCCGTGACGCTCCTCCTGAACGTCCAGCAGCAAACGTACCAGGGCCTGCCGGAGACGGGGGGGAGTGTTAGCGGAGTACCAGGGCCTGGCGGAGCCGGGGGAGTGTTAGTGGAGTACCAGGGCCTGGCGGAGACAGGGGGCGTGTTTATGGAGTACCAGGGCCTGGCGGAGACGGGGGGGGGGAGTGTTAGTGGAGTACCAGGGCCTGGCGGATACAGGGGAGTGTAAGTGGTGCACGTACCCGGGCCTGACGGGAGTTAGTTATACAGACACAAGTACTGGGGAGGGTGTGGGGATGCGGGATGATCAGTGGGAGCACACTATAGTCTTGTAGGGTCATCGGAAGTAAAGGAAATTCCTATCTTCAACATCGAACTAAGCAGTGACTTTACTCTTCAGGATGTGAATTTGCACACTACACAGCTTAAATTTCCGAGCGTTGACTACATGCTATCTGCCCTACCCAGCTTCCTCTCTAAACTGACAGCCATCTACAGCGGAAACACCCCCAACAAATATCGACCATCCCGGGACGCACCTGAGCCGTGAAGCAGGACTCGTGGAACAGCACGCGGTCCCTGCGGACACGCAGTTTGAGCGCGTACAGCCACAGGTCGATACAGCGCTGGAAGAGAAGCGAGTCGGCGTAGGCGGCACCCCGGTACATGAGTCGGAACGTCATGTCCTGAAAGGTAGACAAGGGGACAGGCAGGTCAGGACACCGGGGTGAGACTGAACATTGATCCACACTACAATGATTCATCAAGTTGGCGTGTGCAGGTGTACGGCCAGCGCTTGCCTTTTGGTTATTGCCGAACACTAACTGCACCGTTAAAGTTTCGCTCACTAAAACAGCACCGCGCAAAACCTAATATGAGAAGACGGAAAGTGAGAATGTCTGAGCGTTTAACTGGTGACGGATCACTGACTGAGGCGGGAGGCCTCACACGTAAGACTGTATAACAAGGTACTGAACCGACAACGCCCTCCACATCGTCTGTTTTAAAACTGCAGAGTCCTGAGCCCACCTTGTGTGTGACACCCAAGACTCGTTCGGTGACGATGAGGCTCTGTATTTTGACGGCGTCCCAGTCCAGACGGAGGTCGTCCAGCTCCTCAAACGTCGAGAACTCCAGCTGA